CATTAATTGTATTTTCTTGATAAAACTAAGTTAAAATTAAAAAAATGTACTTTTACCTATATCTGCTTATTGATTTATAGTATATTTAGATTTTATTGTATGAAGTCAATCCTAGGTTCTAATAGGTGTTGATTGTTGACGGGGAAAGGGGGGGGGGGCAGAATGATTGGAATGAAGAAGAAAAAGAATTAATCTGTTTTAATTGTTTCTAATCAAAACTAAATACTCGTTTTTCGCAAAATAGTTTTATATTCAAATGTTTGTCCGTGCTCACTTACCTTTTTTTAGTGCAGAGAGCACAGGCGCTTGTTTCATACAGTGAGCTAAGTTTTCTACTATATAATAACACAAGGTATCCATCTTTCTCGAGACCAAAAATGTAGTTCACCAATTCAAACACCTTTTTTTATTTATTATCCGCCGCTGGCAACAAAAAACCCACATGTAATGGTTAGCGGAATTCCCGTTCTTGGACCTCATGTATATTTCCGTACCTCATCCCCTCGCGAACTTTGACATTGACCATAAAATTACACGCTTCGTCAATCGAAAGAAAAAGTACATCTCTAAACAGCTCAGCACTTCCGGTTTGGCAACCGCGATATGATTCACAAGTTCTCATTGGCTACTGGTACTCTCGGGAGTTTTCCATGCAATTGTATAAGGTACAAGAGAAAACCGAAATAATATTTTGGCGCAAATTTGAAAATCGATATTGTTCTAGGTTTTCTGTCAAATATTTTGTAAGATGACAACGTGTTGGTGATTTTTAAGATGATTTGATAGTTATTATTATAGCAAAAATATTTTGTTAAGGTTCCTCTCTACACCAGAGCAAAATGTACCAGTAGCCAATGAGCTCTTGTGTTTTATATCGCGGTTGCCAAACCGGAAGTGCTGAGCTGTTTAGAGATGTACTTTTTCTTTCGATTGACGAAGCGTGTAATTTTATGGTCAATGTCAAAGTTCGCGAGGGGGTGAGGTACGGAAATATACACGAGGTCCAAGAAGGGGAATTCCGCTAACCATTACATGTGGGTTTTTTGTTGCCAGCGGCGGATAATAAATAAAAAAGGGGTTTTAATTGGTGACCTACATTTTTGGTCTCGAGAAAGATGGATACCTTGTGTTATTATATAGTAGAAAACTTAGCTCACTGTATAAAACAAGCGCCTGTGGCAGAGAGGTCAATATTTATGACATAGAGTACGAAAATAAAAGAAAACGTCATATTTCTCGTTTATTTAATCATAAAGGTGTATTTTTTCTTTGTTAAAATAAAGATATGAATCATTTCTATCAAAATATATGAATTAGAACATTTTCACACAAAGCTTTTTGAGATATTACCTATTATGCATGTCAGAACTGTAAAAAAAACATACGACAAGAAAAACGGGATGATACTTAATGATATTGTGCTCCATTATAATTTTTCATGCAAGATGAATTACAATGAATTTGCTTTCATTTAAAAGATACAAGTCAAATAGTTCAAAAACATTTTGATTTTGAATGTGATTTGACATTTTTAGATCTTTTTAGCGCAGATTTGGGTTAGAACAATACTGTCAGAAAATAATCTAATTTAAACATTTCACACTGTTTTTGCAAGTGCTCCTGTGTAAAAATAAGCATATAAATGTATTGTTTTCAATTCCTAAAAATTAAGAGCAAGTGGTCAGGAAAGACATGTCAAAGTTTTGAAAATTTCACACAAAGACGTTTCCGACATAAGTCCCCCTTAATCTCATAACATGTTAAAACATTAGATAAAATGTTAACAAGTAAAGTGTTTTTTAACTCGACTGATAAATATATTGTTGACGCACTGTTGATTGACAATAGCTACATAAATGTATATTTAATTGACTTAATAAAGCCCAGTAGAATTAAACCATGTCCATACCTTTTGACATCAGAGACAGCTGTTTTTGCAATAAATGGAACTCATGAGTATTCATACCTTGTTATTGGTCATTCTCGAAATAGTTTTAACAAATAAATTCCTCCTTTCATGTACAAGAACTCTGGAGTTGAGTTGAAAATAATTGCGTGTCTAATGGACGATATCAAATCAGGTCGTACGTGTAATAATTGTTTCCGTTGTTAGCAGACCTATGTCTGTATTTGGAGCAGAGTCTAATCAAAACCTTTTACATCAGAAGATGTATACATTTCTTGTAACTATTTCGACATTAGAAGATACATTATCAATTTAAAGAAATTAAGTAAAATCCATTCACGGATAACACCCTTCTGAATATATCCGCTTGATAAAATATATTGAAATAACGAACAGCATTCAAGATCTAAAATTTCCATTTCCAATACAAAATAAGAGCAAAGCAAACACAGGTCTCCGAAACATCAGAGACGGGATCGGATGCCATGAAGGATTGAGCATCACCTGCCAAACAATTACACCTACCTGCCATGTGCTCATTGTTATTATCGAAAAGAAAGGAAAATCTGTTTACAATTTAGTTTGTAATAATGGATTAACAATAAGTATGGAAAACATCAGTCAACATTTGACTTAAAAGGGGCATGGACAATTTTAATGTTTACAATTCCAGCGCAAGGCATCATCTATTGATTAGCAAAAAATTTAACATCATTTGTTAACAAACACGATGCAAAACTATAAGTTCTTCATAATGTAAACAAGGCTCGTGCCTTGATTTTGTTTACATATAGAAAATAGCATATTTATAACAAAATGAAATTCAGCAAATCACTAGTTACTGCCAAATCGTATTTGAAATTAAGTTTTATTTGAAATTATCTACTTTGATCGAATTTATTTTTATCAACCTGTGAAAACAAAAGATGAACAAACCTTGTCTACATAACAAAAGCTTGGAAATCTAAATTTGTCTTGTATCTGGACAACTTACGTTCAAATTTTTGATGATCATAGAAAGGCATTATTTAAATTATTGTAAAAATGGAAAAAATAATTTTGAAATTATATCTGAAACTTTGCCTATGCCCCTTTAATGATAGTTTGTATGTGCTAACATGGTCATTGTATCGACCATAAAACTTAAAACACCATGACTTAAATCGGGACTGTTGATATTCTAATTTCATCAACTCGTTTGTTAATGTCTTACGCCGTTTTAAGCATTGTTTTAACATAGAGCATGCTCCTGCATATAAAATCAACTGAGAGATATAACCCCCGTATGCAGCTGATGAAAGTATATTGCAATATAGTTAAAGTCACATTGCTTTTCATGAAACTTGATTGTTTAATAATTATGAAGGTCTTTTTCAAGTAAAACATCTTTTGAAAGAGATGTGTCAGGATCTATGATATCTTTTATTTCAACCTCACCATTATATATATCGTGTCGATATACTAGGGCTGTTCAATAAATAATGTCATCGGTGCTCGAAAAGAAGCAAAAGATGCTTTCAATGATTTAGTATTCATGATTTAACTAATTAAACCCTTTTAATCTAAACAAGTTCCTAACATTTTTTATTCAATTTCTGATTGTTCTTAAAACTCATTTTTGGGTATGACCCTTAGTATACTGGAAATGGTAGATTAAATGATTTCCTAGACTTGTTTCATCCTTCTGAAAAGTTGATTTTTTTCAAGTTTGGAAATAGAAACAAGTCAAAAGGTCAAAGATCTGGCAAATATTGTTAATGTGAAAATACAGCAACTTTCTGTTTATCCCAAAAACCACTTTACTCTTCAGGGCGTGCGGGTTTGGACGCTGTCATGAAGAAGTTTGATGTAGTGGATTTCTGATTCTGGGTCCTTCTTCTTTCGATTTTTTTGCAAAAAAATTGCTTTCTAGCCTCCTCCAGAAATTGAACTGTCTCCCAGAATACGATTTTGAACAACAATATCACTAATATTTAAAAACATTGCAATTAATTCTGAATTGTGCTCTCGCAATTCGCAATTCTTGGCTCTTGTCAGACCTTCGCTGTTTTTATCAAGTACATCGTATGGTAAACTTTGTTTTGAGGGTATAGCAATAGATTCAAGTTCCAATATCTGTTCGAATATCAAGCAGACTACAATTACTTATGTTTTAAAATAATTGTTAAAACATTCGTACACGCTGTCGTGTTTACTCATTTTTCAAATTAAATGGTTACTTTGGAGTAGTAAACTTTTTTACCGTTAAACATTTCTTAAAAACAGGATAAACTACTTCCGAAATGATGTCTATCAAATTTGCTGTGTCTTAACGTCAATTATACATCATCAAATATTATTTGTTGAATTTGGCAAACAATATATAAGTTGCTATACTTTTTGTTGGCAAGGACGGTACCCATTTTTAATGCCCATCATATAATTTTTTATCATTGAAATTAACCTGCTCATTTGTCTATGAAACAGGCATTGGTTGCTGTAAATATAATGTCACATATTTCGATGGATATTTCTTTGAGATTTTTAACAAGTTTTACAGCAGCTTTAATGAAGCTTTTAATTCCACGCTACTTTACTTATTCTTTATTATTCATTTATAATGCAGTGTTTCGAATAGCCCTTGATTTCCAGCTTCTCATAATGAAACTATGTGATGAAAAGTGGTCACATAAGCTGTTATAAATTCATTAAAGATTAAATAATGAGAGAAAGTCAAGCTCAATGTCGTATGATATCTCTATTGTATGTCATACAGTTCAGGACATTATTCATTGAACATCCCTCGTAAGAATGAAAATAATTGATTGTCGTAGAATTAATGTTTTATTAATTGGAGTATATCCGGGAGGGAGGATCATACTTATTTTAAAAAAAATTAAATTATCTTTTGAAAAAAGAAATACCTCATTCAAACTATATACGGAAAAACTTATAACGACAAAAAGCAAACCAATAGATAAAAGTTCCTTTACATGTTGAAGCTTGTTGGCAAATTTGAAAAAAAAAAGTCCCATATGAACGTACATAGACAATTAAAAATTCCAGAGGCGGGGTCAGATGCGTAAATCTTTCAGAACTGATCATACTTTGTTCTGTTTCATTTGATTTTTTAATACACCAATCTCCTTTAGAAACTAAGCCTCATCATGTTTTCGCATTGCAATGCTATAAGGTTCCGAGGCCAAGATATCATCTGAATCTGATTCACATATCTCCTCATTCTCTTGATTATCTGTCTCTAAAACATTCATCATACAATAGGAAGCTCCTTCGTTTTGAGATGTATCACAACGGATTGATTCCTTTATAAAATAATTTTCCATCTCAGAAGGGTCGACGTTTCTTCGTAAGGACAGAACACTGTATTGGCTGGTTTCGGCCGAGAATCCGTACATATTTTCCTGCAAATTCATTTTTGATGTCTGTTTTTTTTTATCATTTGCATCCTTGCTATCTTTTGAGACGTTTCTTTTAGCATTTTTATTCGTGAGGAAAGCATCAGTTTCATCATCCTCAGAGTATATATGCAAACGATTTGATGAGAAACCTTCACAATGAAACTCAATCATTTTGGATGATCTTACGTCAGCATAAACATTTTCATTTACTTCATTCTGTATCCCCTGTTGAGATGTATTAATCACAGGTGACTCTAATTGTTGAGCGTCTTTTTTTTACAAAGGTAAATATATAAAATTAAATGTCAGATTTGATTATGATTTTATACATATTAATTTGTCATGAAATTCTCATGAACGTTTCATAACAACTGTTAAAATTTATATCTTGTGCTTGCTATTGGGTACTTCTTTTTTGTGATAATTTTCTTTTTAAAACATTATCAAAATTAGGTTTTTAAATATACCTTCCCTTGTAGACTCATCAACGGTTGCGTTTCTTTGATTTTTGTCATCACGTGGTTTCCTTAATCTTTGGGAGAAGTAATATATTACATAATTTTTTTTTATAACAATTGAAGTTTCAAAGTTCATTTAAAAACATATATAAGCATTTAAAATCAAATCAATTCACTTTTAGATATAATATTACCTGGATGAGAGAAGAACAAGTCCCACTGCTGCTAGAACTGTTACAATTGATCCAATTAAGGCGAACGATACATTCTCCCACACAGATTTGTCTTTTACTGTTTCGTCTTCATAGGATTGTTTATAAAAGTTGTTGGAAATTGTAAGTAATATTATTTATGCTGATATTATAGAATGTTTGAATAATTTTAATTTTTCTTTCTTGCTGTTCTTTTCCTGAAAAGTTCTTTCCTCTAGAATAAGATTTAAACCTATATTTACATTTTTATTAAAATACCATTGTGCAGCTAACACCTACTCTAACATAAATTTGTTGAATACAATATCAGATTGAGATACCCATAATAAGTTTTATTTTAACTTTTTATTATAAGTAATAGTACGAGGGTTGTTCGGGAAGTTCGTGGACTGCTGTCATATCTTTATAATTTATTATCTTAATACAGTTCATTAATATAAAAAATGTAAAATTCATCTTGATTTAATTCAAACATATTCAGGATTAAAAACTGCAAAGAAGTATTCCGTAGCAGGTCAAAATTTAGGAATTCACAAAAAACACTCTAAATAAAATGATATTGTCTGTGTTCAAATTCTCTGTAAAATAGAGCAAAAACGAAAAAAACCTAGACATTTAAGTCAATAACTGTTTCAAATTTCAAATTATCGCCAAATAGTTTGCTTCGTTGTAAAAAAAATCAATTTAAGAAGATCTGTGGTCCCCATTGTAAGCGACATAAATATGACATTGTTGAACGATGCAGTGTTTTTTTTTATAGACAGGGAAAATCCTGAAATCCTGTGGAAAGAATCATAAGATATGCCTCATGTAAGTCGTGCATATGTTTATAAATGGTACTGGCGGTATTTGAGTGACAGAGACTCTGCATCCAACGAGAACAATCGGTAAGAAAAGGTTTATCTGCTAAAAACTGAACAAAAACTTTAAAAGGTTGAAACGACATGGAGAGACGTTGTCGCTTCAGAGTTGCTGATCTTTTGAAAGCTTAGCTACATGTAAGTGTTTAAAGAAATTGAAACATTGATAAAGGAAATTATACATGCTAAAATATAAAAACAAAAGACTTTTGAATAACTGTGTGAAATTTTGGGATAGTATTTCTCAGAAATTCTTGACGCTATGTTTTTGACGTTACTTTGCTGTTTAGTATGCTCCGTATATACAAAACAATAATTTCAAAATGAAGTACCAGTAAATTATTTCTATTACATCGAATGGAATGAAACATTACACATCAATAAAACAAATATTTTTACATGTGATGTCCTGCTTATTTAAAACGTCATGCAACTAGTACAATGCAAATTGACATCATTCACAGACTTTTCGAACAACCCTCGCAGATACAATAGAAAATATTTTTCTTTTTTTTTCATGTTAATGTCAGTTTAAACTATATAAATTTTTATACCAAAACAGTACCCTTAAATTCATTTCTTTGAACAAAAAAATTCACAGATTTGTTTTGATTTTTTAACACTGACTTCTATTCGCTATCTTCAATTTTTTAATTACGTATATTTGCTACGTGACATGGTTTATAACTAAATAAAGTTAATTCATTAAATTGATTTTATACCATTAATGCATCTCGTTGTAATGTTAAGGCTTACTATGAGAAATCAACGGAAAATAGAAATGTCAAAACTGGAATTTTTATAAAACTGAATTTATTTTTATTCAGCTGTTTTATTATCACAGAACTTAAATGCCTGTGGAAATATCACAGTATAGTCTACTTTGTACTGAATGAGGTTTGGTCCCATTAATGGACAGTCACTTGATGAATGCATAGTACGTGTACTGAATGTAGGTCATTAACAAATTTCAATATCGCAAGGGCATACCCTATTTGAAATTAAAAATTCAAGCTATTAATTGTTTCTGTATACATTGTACTTGTGATGCTGCTTTGAATAGAATTTGCGCTTTAATAGTTAAAATTTCAAGTAAATAGGCCCATGTCGAAATATATTTGACTTTTACCAAATAGTGTGTGTACTTACAAAGTCACCCTATCGATTTAAAGAAAGCAGCAACACTTTTCAAGTTAAGGAACATATCTTTTATTTATATTAAAAAATGGTTAAGATATATTTAGTGTATGTCCTTGCGAATGAACGATTTCATGAGGCACCTCGATGTTAAATATACCTAACCTGAACACGACCAAATTGTTAAAATACATGCTCTCGATAGTTAATGAATAATCGCACCAAACAAAGTATATTCAGTTGGTATAAATAGCCTATTTACAACCTGTAAATAACATTCTGTTTTATAATAAAACGCATTTTCATTGTTTAAAAATTCCTCAATCTGCCTCTCACAGCACATGAAATATGCCATTTTTACCAAAATGACGTCATGATTGACAAGTTTATCGAGATCAGTGATTTGTTTATATCCGGCTGTATGGGATTTAACTAGCAACTTTTTAAAATGCATTGATACGTTTTATTGTTGTTTATTATGCTAATGCAGTTTAAAGCTTTCTGGTATTATGAGGAATACATAAAGGTCATATTTTAGTATGATGTCACAGAAAACTTTTCCCGTATAATTTGAACCTTAACAATGCTGCGCTATTTAAAGTGCTTAGATAAGAAGAGAGTCATTTTAAAACATTAAGACTAATGAAAGCTTAAAAACAAAAACGTAATCACCAAATTCCTTCTTCTTACAACCATATTCCTTATCACAATCTTGGTGAGCACAGTTGCATTGCGATCTACACAGTCTCCCGTAAAATCCCTCACTGCATGAGGCACTGCAGTTTAAACCAAACGTCCCAAGTGGGCAGTCTAGAACAAGATTGCCTGTATGTAGTTACTTTGAATAATTGTTAATTCTAACATAGACAGTTTCATCACATGGTATTATATAATGTGAAATTTTGTATTGTGTTGATACCTAAGCATGGCCCATTGTTATGCCGGTAAAAGTTTGTACAGCATCTGAAAATTTAACACCTCAAAAATGTTAATACTCAAGGATATATTTTTACTGATTTATTACATCAAAGAAGTGTAATATACTTCTTTTAAAATTCGTTATTCTTATTAAATTTTTTCGTACTCACCTGTTACCACACATTGTGCTGGATGCTGTTGCTGTGAAAATACCTAAAATGATCTGAAGACAGATATTGTTTTCATCAATGGTTGCCATTGTTGAGCTAACATTAATTCAAATTTTCATTCAAATTCCAATTCATGTGTTAAGTGTACTATGTCTATCTATATCAAGGATTTCAGAGAAGAGATATTTATTTTAAATATAGCTAGATCCTACAAACAAAAACGTTCCCCTTCCTTGTCATCACTGTGTGATTCGAGAGTTTTAAGTACTGTATCACTAGAACATTTATGTGGACAGCAACTATTGAAGTTTTCAAAGTTTGTAATATCAATACACATACACACCCATAATTGTTACGTTAAATAAGATTTCAGTTAAAATTCATTGATACACGATTTTTATCTCGATTTGGTATTTATTGTGTACATATTGGTCTAGCAGTTACTGTGAAATCACTAATTTTCTGGAAGATAATTTTCTTTGTTTTCAACGTATGAAGAAACACACGAAATGCTATTTATCATATATATTACTACTAAACAACTCTTCACCCACGAAATCAAATCACCATGAAACGAAATTTTTTCCTCAAACCACAAAAATTTGACCTTTCGAAAATATGTGATTTCACAATAGTTTATTTTCGTACGAGGTCATTGTATCGAATGGACGAGTGACATCCTCCGCCGACCGTTCACATCTGTCGTGTGCTCCTTGTCATGATCGGGAAATAATTCAGGGGCAAGATGGGTAATGATATTATTTAAGTTCTATTAAATTGATACGTTGAGATATCTCTGTTGGAGAAAATATTGATTTCCGATCATGACAAGGAGCACACGGCAAAGGGTGTGACCGTTCGGCAGAGGGTGGTCACCTGATCCCACCTCTGATGTTTTAGAGGTCCATATTTGCTCTACTCCTATTTGTATTGTTTTGTGGACTTTGATCTTGATTACTGTTCGTTATCTCTATATGTTACATCACGGCTAGATTGGACTTCGTTTAATTCTTTAACAGTCCAAAATGATAAATACCATAATTGTGTACAATGGAATAACTATAAAATGAATTTGCTGATATTATGTTTGCATTAAAACTGTTTTTGTGAAGGCTTATTAAAAGGGAAATCAATGTACTTTTACATTTACCCGAGTATTGGGAAGAGCGTTTAAAGAAATATCATTACAAGTATATAGGAAATATATTAGTTTAAAGAGATCGGAAACCATGTACGTCTTCCTTTATAAAGATCCAGTATAGCTCAATCGCACTAAATGCCGAGAAAAGGTCTAAATTTGAACCCATTAACTAGTATATGGTGGCGTCCCTATATGCGTGAAAGTGTAAAATATGAAAACAATATTCAAGATCAAAAGTCTGCAAAAATACGAGATCAATCGATAGAAATTGAATTGATTTGAAGAATACATTATATTTCGATGTTGAAAAGGCCATTCTTTGGAAAATATCTTAAAATAATGTAGATATAAATTCGCGGAGGATCTACACATCCGAATAAAACACTCATGAAATCAGCCATTTTACTGTCTTAACATCTTCGCGGGCCAAAATTTTTCTGATCCGAGGTATCGGATCGGAAACCCTTGGCTAACGAAAGTGCTGTCTTAAATGATTATTGAAAACAATAATTTCTTAGTAATTTATCTTTTTATAAAAAGTGTACATATGATTTGTGTACATATCCATTTCTTTACAACTTCTTGAGGCGATGAATTATCTGATATTGTCTTACGATATGTATACCCAAGTATTTATTATTTTATAAATAAGATGATTTAGATTAATGATGTTGTTCTTTCTACAAACCTTGTTTCTTGCATAAACTATACATTAAAAATGTTATTAACAGTTAAAGCTGAAAAATTAGATAATTTCGAGTCTGCATTCTTAAAACGTCATGATAATAAATTATTGATAACCAATTTCTGTCTCTTAACTTTAAGTGCACACTAAAACCCATAGGAATAAATGTGAGTATAAGATCAAAGTAAAATATGTGAAGTTGTATGTGAATCACAATTTGTTAAACTGTTAAATATTGATATTTTTAATAGAGTAAGTTCAAATCACTTTTGTAGTGTCAGGATTAATGATAAATAGGCCTATATTTTTAGGAAAAATATGTAGATAACGGACAGTATTCAATCTCAAAGTCCAGAAAACAATACAAAGCAAGGGCGGAGCAAACACGGACCTCCGAAACATAAGAGGTGGGATCAGGTGCCATAAAAAAATCAATTTTAACATTTAACATCGAACTAAAAAAATGAACCACTGATCCCTGAAAAAGGAAACCAAAAGACATAAATAGAACAAGTCGTAAACAAAAATGTACTTCAGGCTTTACCTTCCTTATTCATATTTGAATATTTTATGAGAAAACGGCGCTAAGCATGCTCTAGGTTTAAACATTCTCTAAAACGATGTAAGATATTGCAGAAAAAGAAGATAAAAGAAGAATATCAAATGGGTCGATTAAAGTCATTTTGCAAGATCTTTGTTCGATAAAATGACCTTGTCTGCAAATGCATTCAAGCATGAAATTAAATTCTGAATGACCATTCAATATTATATGTATCAAGCTATTGTCATTTTATACATACTGAATCGTCTACGGATTATTCCGCTTTTCCCGATCATGACGTCAATAAGCATATGGCGGATGTCACCCGCCGGCAGTAGATGCTCACTCCCAAATGACGCCTGATCCCACATTTTAAGGTTTAAAGGCCCGAGCTATCTCCGCTCTTGATTTCTTTAATGGACTTTGATAACACTGTTTGTTAATATCAAATTTCAAAAAAGACTTTTCTAGATTCATTTTTTTTTTCAGAATTAACCTTTCCAAGGAGAGGAAAACGAAATATTATATGATCTGTAAAGAATCTTCTTGATATGCATCTGAATATATCAATACACACCTTCATGTCCAGAACAATAAATAAAATCTTATTAATTCATTAAATGGTATTAATATAGATCTGGAGTGATGGTTATATTTTTTTAGCCTTGATAAATTTTGAATCAAAATATGTTAATTTGATTTACATCGTAAAAAGCTTTCAATTTTTAAAATTGTTATAGACATTTCCTATAATTGATTTTCAAAATTGATATTGAAGCCTTTAATCAGAGAAACGATTAAAACGTTTAAAAAGGATGAAGTGGATTTTAAAATATAACATATATATCCTATTAAAAACAACAAAATATATCTATGTCACATCATTATAAAGTTTTCAATATTACTTATGAAGTGTTTTTAAATACACTTTAATTTTTGTAGATAAAAAAATCTAGTGACACTCGATTATTGATACATGTACATTGTAAAGTAGGCAGAGAGAGAGAGAGAGAGAGAGAGAGAGAGAGAGAGAGAGAGAGTGAGAGAGAGAGAGAGAGAGAGAGAGAGAGAGAGACACTTGTTCTAGAATTGATTATCTCATTTTAAAAAAAGTCAAGAACTAATTCTCAATAAAAGGTCAATTTTCATCAAAAGCAAGAAAACATCTTTGTTCCATATTTGGATATTTTACTAGAAAGATACTAGCTGTTAGCTAATACCAATGCTTTAAGAGAAACATGTTGAGTTCAGTTATTCTGTCGTCATCTCTGGCACATGGCCTTATGTCTACCAGTTGAGTTGATAAGGATGTTCACACCCTACACAGGAACAATATCTAAAAGCAAGGCAAATTTTTGACAAGTATGTTGATCAAACGGTTCAGTTATTCTGTCGTCATCTCTGGCACATGGCCTTATGTCTACCAGTTGAGTTGATAAGGATGTTCACACCCTACACAGGAACAATATCTAAAAGCAAGGCAAATTTTTGACAAGTATGTTGATCAAACGGTACTCTATCATTTAAAGTAATCATTTCTTAAATTCTATTGCAGATACAATGACCCTGTTCGTAGGTGTAATCTATTGTAAGTCGAATGAGTGTTGACTGGTGTTTTTCATCCCCATTTTTTGTGCTTGTCCGATGATGAAAGGGAGGACCACAGGTGTGACCGGTGTACAGGGCGGCGCACCTTATCCTACCCCTGAAGCGTTTGAGCTCAGTGTATCTCTGCCCCCGATTTGTATTGTTTCAACAAATTTTAAACTTACTAGTAAATACTGTTCGTTATATCCATATACCATATAAAAAGTATTATTATACATTTATTGACTGAGTTCGAGGGCAACATGCGTTTTGTCGGACCCAAGAACCAAACTGTCTGCCTGAGGCCGTTGAAGGCTGACAGTCTGGTTAGAGGGTCGACAAAACGCATTTTGCCCGAGAACTCTGTCAATAAATGTTTTGTTATACCTTTCATTTTATTTAATATTTTTTGACATACATGTATTTTGTATTATATTCCGTAATGTAACATCAGGTGTGTCACTGTTTTACACCAACGAATAAAAATGAGATTAAGCTCCGCCCATTCTGTGACGTAAGCGGTCCAACATCTCTCCGAGCGGTCCAACATCTCACTCAGCGGTCCAACATCGATTTTTTTATGCCCGCTCAGCAAAACATTAAAAATGTTAGACTTTTTTTCGTATAGATTTGTATAGGAACAAATTTTTAAAGGTATAACAATAACTAATGAAGAATATGAGATTGCGAACTGTATTTAATATCAAAATCCAAATAAAATACTAAGTAGGAGCAGAACAAACATGGACCTGATCATCTTAACATCAAAAGAGGGATTAAGTGTCATGGAAGACTGAGCACTGGAAATAAACCTTTCATATTCGACCATATTGTGTTCTGTTCCATTTGATTTTTTATACGCCGATCTCCTTCTGAATTTAAGACTTATCATATTTTCGCATTGCAATGCTATATGGTTCCGAGGAATCATCTAAATCGGATTCACATATCCCCTCATTCTCTTGATTACTAGTATCTGTCTCCAAAACATTCATTATACAATAGGAAGCTCCTTTGTTTTGAGATGTATCACGATGGATTGATTGCTTAATCAAATAATGTTCCATCTCGGAGGAGTTTACATTTCTTCGTAAGGAGAGAAAACTGCATTGGCTGGTATCGACCAAATTTCCGTACATATTTTCCTGCAGATTCATTTTTGATGTCTGTTTTTCTTTATAATTTGCATCCTTTCTATCTTTTGAGACGCTCCTTTTAACATTTTTATTCTCGAAGAAGGCATCAGTTTTATCATCCTCAGAGTGTATGTGCAAATGATTTGATGAGAAACCTTCACAATGAAACTCAATCATTTTGGAGGATCTAACATCAGCATAAACATTTTCATTTACTTCATTCTGTATATCCTGGTGAGATGTACTAATCACAGGTGGCTCTAATTGTTGAACGTCTTTTTTTTTACAAAAATAAATAAATAACATTATTTAATGTCAGTTTTGATTTTTCAGCTTATTATTATCGTATGCATATTAATTTGTAATGAAATATTTACGAAAATTGATAACAACTGTTAAATTTTACATCTTGGACTTGCAATGGGTACTAGTTTTTTTTTATAACTTTCTCTTTAAAACATTGTTATTAAGATTTGGCTTTCTAAATTTACCTCCCCTAGCAGAATCATCAACGGTTGCGTTTCTTTGATTTTTGTCATCACGTGGTTTCCTTAATCTTTGTGAGAAATAATATGTTACATAATTTTAATAACAATTGAGGTTTCAAAGTTTATTGGGAAAAAACATGGACAAATATAAGCAATCACAATCAAAGCAATTCACTTTTAGATATAATAATACCTGGATGAGAGAAGAACAAGTCCCACTGCTGCTAGAACCGTTACAATAGATCCAATTAAGGCGAACGATACATTCTCCCACACTGATTTGTCTTTTACTGTTTCGTCTTCAGAGGCTTGTTTTTAAAAGTTGTTGGATAAATGTAGGATAAGATAATATTATAAATGCTGAATATTATAATTGATAAATTCTCTAATTATATATTTTTTCTCGTGGTCTCTTCTTTCACTATTCAAAAGTTCTTTCCTCCAGATACGTACTAGTATTTAATATCTGACAACGTTCCAGAAATCGAAGAATGATTAAAATTTAAACCATAATTCTTTTATTATTAACCAAATTTAATAAGTTTTCATTGTGCAGCTAACACTTACTTTGAATACAATATCAGAATACAATACCCATAACAGTTCTTATATCCATTTCAATTATATTTCCATTGTTAGATTTATTATAACTTTTTTATTAGTAGTAATAGTTCGAGCAAGGGTTGTTTGGAAAGTTTGTGGACTCCTGTCACATCTTAATCATGAAGGATATGGAGATAACGAACGTCACATGCATTCCAAATTTGGTAGAAGTATTCTTACAATAAATTCAAATGATTTATATAAAAAAAGATTAAATTTATCATGATTTTTTCCCCAAATATATTCGAATATAAAAACCACAAAAATAGGATCGCGGAGCAGGTCAAAATTTGTTGATGATAATGCCTGTGGTCATATTCTCTGTAAAACGGAGCAAAAACGGAGCAAAAACACAAAAAAATAACCCTAGACATTTAAGTCAAGAACTGTTTCATATTTCAAATTATGGCCCAAAAGTTTGCTTCGTTGAAAATAAATCAATTTGAGAAGATTGGTGGTCCTCATTGAAAGGGACAGAAATGATGACGTTGTTGTACGATGAAATTTTGTGTTATAAATCTTCAATAAAGTCTTAAAATATAAAAGGAATCATCAGAAGTGCCTCATGTAAGATCTGCATATGTGTATCATGGAAAGACATAGGCGCGTCAGAGTTTCTGATCTATTGAAAGCACAGTTAAGTGGTTAAAGAAGTTAAAGCATTGACAAAGGAAATTAGAGAGTAAAACTAGACCTCTGATGTTTAGGAGGTCCGTGATTGCTCCGCTCCTAAGCATGACCCATTGTTTTATGAACTTTGATATTGATTACTGTTCGTTATCTCCATATCCTTCTTCTTATAACGAAGTCTCTGGTAATCGTGAAATGGTGTCAGGTCATTTCTCTCTAAAAATTTTTCTCTCCCAGGTTATTTCTCTCTCCTACCATTTCACGGTAGGTCATTTCACGGTAGGTCATTTCTCTCTCCTACCTGGGTCATTTCACCCCATTTTAAATCTGGTATTATATATAATTTTTTACATTTCCATTCTTGTGTTATTAACTTTTGTCTCGTAAAATAAATTAATTTTATCAATTTATGACTAATAAAATTCGAACGAGAGAATGTTTATATAGATACAGATCAAACTCGAATCTTAGAAAAATAATACAAAAAAAAAAATGCTTTTATTGATTGATTTTGTTTGGCGATACAAATACGTTGGAATAAAAAATAAAACAGTTTTAAATTATGATATGTCAATTTTGATCTTAAGAGGAAAAAGGGAGAAAATAGACATGACATAAAATAATAGCTGCAGAACTGTAGCTCGATCTCCGAAAAGAAATATATTGACAGACCGGTTCAATACATTTTCTTTTTGGAAAACTACAGTTCTGCAGCTAAAAAATAGATAATTTAAAAAAACAAAACAATGGATAATTCATAATATATATTATGAAAGCAGATACACAAGTAAAAGTGTGTAAATATTTACCTATTTATTTTGAATAATCGTATAAATAATAAGAACACGAAGAAAATAATGACATAAAAATGCTATCAATATGAAAAAACCTAAAAGCAATATTTCTAAGTTATACAAGATTAACAAAGTAGCCAACCCACATGAATTAATGGGAATGTAGCAACGGAAAAAAATCTCTTCAAAATGAATTATAAGACATCGAAAAGGAACTTACTCGGTGTGGCAATAGACACCTCCACAATTTCGCCGGAAATGGCTAGTAAATTTTAATACGTTTAAAGTACTAGTATATTACACCATTAAAACGATTCTTACATGTATGAATCTAATGTAAAAAAAAAATATTTAAACCCACCTCCCTTTTTAATATAACGTAATCTGCTGTGTTTACCACAATATTTTATGAAATAGAGAATACATTATCAGGACTGTATAAAATGTTTTTCAGGACTTGTAATCTTGATACTCTCAGTAGATGTCAAATAATCTACTGTCTCTAAAAGTTTACATATTCTTGGATTCAATTAAAAAAAAATCATCTCATTTTTTATACGTATTTTATCCATGGCGTTCAGTTTCCTTTGTTATATCAGAGATTATAAATTTTAAGTACAAACAAAAATATTCCAACTATAACACAAACTTGAACTAGCTTTTTGAAAAGGCAAGGACATAACTCGATCTCATGTTAGCTAGAATGATCTTTCGACTGTTCAATACTTCCGTTTTATTATCAAGGAGATATTCATGAGGTCTTTTACATGTATGCACATACATATTTACGCAAGAGAAAATAATGCAGAAAAATGTTTTTAACAATCGGGACATTTTAAATTAAAAATCCATGCACCAGTACATCAATTTTACGTTCTAATAATAAACATGTTAATGTGTGTGTGGGGGGGGGGGAGGGGGAGGGGGGGGGTACCCCTGTTGTACAGAGAAACACTTATGTAATTTGGGGGGAAAATGAAATCTAAAAAGTTAAAATTTACTTGATTGTGAAAATGCATACATTTAGGATTAGTCATCTTGCCTAAAAATTGTGATCCTAGGAAGTATTACAGTACATGTAAATGAGTTTGTATTCAATGTAATAAAAAATGGAAACAAATTCTTATTTATATAATAATCTGGCTGAACACATCTTTGTACAAGTTGACATATTTTGTCTAAAGACTTAAGGAGATATTGTGGTGTCAATCTGTGAAATCGACAATTTACGGATAAACATTTGCACCCAGCATGATGATAAAAAAAAAACACCTTGTAGGGTACCATAAAACCGCAAGACAGCAATTACGAATATTTTAACAATTATATATTTATTCCTGATAAAGACCATAAAAGACAGATGACAGGACAATAAAAAATTCACAATCTAATTGATAATGAATTTAGTTGTTAAAGAAAGAAGATTAAAATATTTCTATTTTCGCATTTAAAGTTATTCTATATTCCATTATAGCTGTAGAACTGTAGCTCTCCGATTTTTTTTTTTTTAAATACATGTGTAATTTTTTTAAAGGCCCGCACTGTCAATACATATTTTTCAGAGAGCTACAGTTCTGCATTTAATTCCATTAGAAAAAAAGATAGTAAGTCTTAGAATCAATGAAAAAAAATAAATAATCATGTGCCTCTGCCCTTTTGAAAAGCCAGTTGAAGATTGTATAAATTGATTAATTAATACAAAAAATTAAAAAATAAAGGAATTAATTAAATTATAAAAGAATTCTTACAAAAAAAAATATTATTCAAATAAATGAGTGAATGCATAAATGTTTAAATTATGAATAAAATAAACAATAAATGTGTGAACTCATAAATAAATAAAAAATACATGTGTGAATTAATAAATGAATAAATAAGATGAAATAAAATAAATAAAGTTAGCATTCAATTCAGTGTGGTAATTAACAAAACTTGATAAAATTAAACTTATTACACTATAATTTTTGTGTTGGAGTGAAATGACCTAGGTTGTGGAGAGAAATGACCTGGGTAATGGAGGGAAATGACCCAGGAGAGAATTGACCTGGGCGGAAATGACCTAGGCGGAGCAGGTCCTGGGGAGAAATGACCCGGATTCCGTGAAATTACTTCGCCATATCCGTAAATTCGCAATATCCATGTTCGTACTAAAATAGTTTTGCGGAGTTGTACTTGCAACGAAAACTATTGTTGGATGTATAAATACAAAATTCCAGAAAGATGAATTTATATGAGTGAATTTTAAAGTATACTATGTGAAATGTATAGTATAGTATTCCTAAGAAAATTTTTACGCAATGTTTTGACCTTACTTTGCTGTTACGTATGCTCAGTATATAACACATGTATAAAATATGTTGATTTTAAAATGAAGTACAAGTTAAATAATTCCTATTAAGGACAGATGATACAAACAAAAAAATGGATGCATGGATTGGTATATATATTTTTGAGGCTAATTTCATTGCACATGATGCAAATAATAAATTTATAGAAAATAAAGAAATTGTAAACCTTCTGTGATGTTCAAAACTCTGCCATTCTGAAACCATCCTTTTTAATGTATACAAATATTTTGCACTTCAAATTCCATTTTTGGGCAATGTTGATTAAAAAATTAAAACTTGTTTCTTACCATTTAAACATGACCCAAGTTGTTATTTATAAATTCTTTGACAAAAATTTGTTTGTATCATCTGTCCTTAAATCGAATGGCATGAAACTTAAGATATCATCAAAACAAATATTTTTACACATGATGTTGTGCTTATTTTAAAATCCTTGCAAGAAGTACAACAAAGAATGACATCAGCCTCGAACTTTTCGAACAACCCTCGTAGATACAATAAAAAATATTTTTCTTTTTTTTAATATGAATTTAAATTAGATCAAATTTTAATGGCGATACCATTCAATACATATTTTTGAACAAAATATTTTCTCAGATTGGTTTGACATTGATTTCTATTTGTTATCTTCACTTTTTAATTACGTTTATAGATAAATAAAGTTAATTAAAGTTAATTCACACATTAATATACTTTTTTAAATATACTGAAATAAGAAGAGAATCATTTTAAAAGATTAAGGCTAAAGAAAGCTTAAAAATAAAAGAAGATAATCACCAGATTTCCTCTTCTTACAACCATATTCTTTATCACAATCTTCTGTAGAACAGTTGCATTCTGATCTACACAGTCTTCCATAGAATCCTTCCTTACATGATGCACTGCAGTTAACACCAAACGTCCCAAGTGGGCAGTCTAGAACAAGATGACCTATATGCACTTACTTTGAATAATTGTTAATTCTAACATAGTCAGTTTCTTCAAATGATATTATATGCATAATGTGAATTTTTGTATTGTGTCGATACCTAAGCATGACCCATTGTTATGCTGGTATAAGTTTGCACAGCATCTGAAAATTTAACACCTCAATAATGTAAATGCTCAAGGATATATTTTAGGGTTTTATAACATCAAGAAAATGTAATATACTTTTTTTATTCTACTTAATTGTTTTTCGTACTTACCTGTTACCACACATTGTGCTGGATGCTGTTGCTGTGAAAATACCTAAAATGATCTGAAGACAGATATTTTGTACATCAATGCTTGCCATTGTAGAGCTAACATTAATTTCAATTTTCATTTAAATAACATTTCATCTGTTCAGTGTACTAGGTCTATCTATATCAACGATTTCAGAGAAGAGATATTTATTTTAAATATAGCTAGATCCTATAAACAAAAACGTTCCCCTTCCTTGTTATCACCGTGTGTGTGCTATTTGATTCAAGAGTCATAAGTATTGTATCACTAAAACATTTATGTGGCAGCAAATATTGAATTTTTCAAAGTTGGTAATATTAATTCAAATACACACCGATAATTGTTACGTGAAATAAAATTGAAGTTAAAATGATTTGATACACGATTTTTAACTCGATTTTGTATTCTCGAAATGCGATTTATCAAATTTATTACTACTAAACAATTCTCCAACCACGAATTCAAATCCCTATGAACCAATGTTTTCCTCAAACCACGAAAATTTGCCCCCTAGAAAATATGTAACTTAAAAGTAGTTCATTTTTGGACAGGGTCATTGTATCAAATGGAAGAGTGACATCCCCTGTTCACACATGTCGTATGCTCCTTGTCTTAATGGGGAAATAACGGGAACATCCGTCGTCAAATCAGTTGAGAGATGGGTAAGGATATTGTTGAAGTTCTACTTTAAGAATTGATACCTTAATAAATCTCTGTTTGAGGCCCATACGTAGAGATGGGAGAAAATATTGATTCGCGATCATGAAAAGGAGCACACGACGAAGGGTTTGACCGGTCGGCAGGAGATGCTCACTTCTCCATGGCACCTGATCCCTCCTCTGATGTTTTGGAGGTCCGTGTTTGCTCTGTTGCTATTTTGTATTGTATTATGGAATTTGATGATCTGGAATACTGTTCGTTATCTCCATATGTTAAATCCCGACTAGATTGGACTTCGTTTGATTCTTTAACAGTCCAACATGATAAATAGCATAATTGTGTACAATGCAATAACTATAACATGAATTTGTTTAACGCATGTTGTGTTTGCATTAAAACTGTTTTTGTGAAGGCTTGTTTATAGGGAAATCAATGTACATTTACTTTGAGAGTATTTGGAAGAGCGTTTAAAGAGATATCATTGCAAGTGTATTGGAAATATATTAGTTTAAAGAGATCAGAAACCATGTGCGTCTTCCTCAATAGGGATCCAGTATAGCTCAATCACACTGAATGCCGAGAAAAGGTCTAAATTTGAACCCATTTACTAGTAAATGGTGGCGTCCCTATATGCCTGAAAGTGTAAAATATGGAAACAATATTCAAGACCAAAAGTCTGCAAAAATGCACGATGAAACTTTGTCCAGTTGGACATAAAATAATACACACTATATCAATCAATCAAACTTGAATTGATTTGAAGACTATATTTTATTTCGATGTTGAAAGCTCCATACTTGGGAATAATATTATTTGTTAAATTATAATATTATTTGAGTCTAAACTACAGGCCTGGGTTCATAAAACAAAGTCAGATAGAAAAAAAATAATGATTTTACATTTTTTGAACAATAATATTACCAGTAAATTATAATCTATTTGTTCTGAAATAATTGTTTACAGGTAAGTCTTGTTTTCACAAGAATCACTAATGAAGGCCTTTAGAAGAGAGCAGGAATTAAGAACCACTAAAATCAGATGGAGAAAACCATGAAAATCAGATTGAGAAAATGGGACTGGATTTGACTAATCCTTGTGAAGCCACCATCCAACACCACAAACCAGGACCAAATCCGGAACCCGCAGGGCAAGAGAAAGAGAGGACATCCAACAGATTAGTATGAAGTTTCATGTGTTAATTGATTACTTTTTGTTCTTAAAAATCTTTTCTTAACAAAATTGCAATTATTACCTGAAATTATCACACTAATTTTGAATATTTGGTGAATAAAACACATTCTTTCATGCCTAAATGCCTTGATTTATTTTCATTAAAGGCTGAAAAAGAAACACGGGGTGGGGATATAAAAAATTTCAAAACTTTCTTATACGTACACTAACCCCTACTTTTCATGCTAAGAAAAGGAACCATAATACCTAAAGAAACTGTACAACAATTTTCTTAAAAAGTTTAATTGTACAAATATGTTTTTCTTTGGTTTTTCAAGCAATTTTATAGGGGAAAATGTGCCTAATTTTGCCATGGGTGAACAACATTTTTGGGTACACGTTATCAAATTGGTATTTATTTGCTCATTTGTTGCTTAAAAAATCAACTTTGCAATACTTTCAAGTAACTTTAAGCCAAATTAAGTTTGAATTCACTGTATCGTTAGGTTTTATGAGGTATTTTATGGTCTGGTAGCATTTTTAATGAAATTTCCCATGCTCTATTTTGGCCTATGTTCGAGGGGTTGAATCTCTCTTAGATGCACTAACATACACTTTCTTTTCTTTAAATCATTCCTTGGATATTACACATTCAGAAAAATATAAGTAGTTGGAAAGTTTAATGCACGTTTTTTTCCGCGTATCATAAGAATACATCCTTAAATGATTATGAAAAACAATTAATTGTACGTAATTTATCTTTTTATAAAAAGTGTACATACGATTTGTGTACAGATCCATTTATTTACAGCTTCTTAATGCGATGAATTGTCTGATATTGTCTAATGATATGTATACCAAAGTATTTATTATTTTATAAATAAGACAATTTAGATCAATAATGTTATTCTTTCTACAAACCTTGTTTCTTGCATAAACTATACATTAAGATTGTTATATACGGTTAAATCTGAAAAATCAAAAACGCGAGTCTGCATACTTAAAATGTCATGATAATAAATCATTTGATAACTAATTTCTGTTTCTTAACTTTAAGTACACACTAAAACCATTGCGAATAAATGTGAGCATAAGATCAAAATAAAAGATTAATATGAAGTTGTAGGCCTATGTAAATCGCAATTTGTTCAAAGGTTAAATATTGATATTTTAATAGAAAACGCTCAAAATACTTTTGTAATGTCCGGCTTTATGATAAATATATATTTAAAAAAAATCAGTTTTAACATTTAACATCGAAATAAAAAATGAACAACTGATCCCTGAAAAAAAAGACTGAAATGGAACAACACGGAAACAAAAACTATTCTTCTCTTCCTTCCTTATTCATATTTGAATATTTTACTATAAAACGACGTTAAGGATGCTCTTCCTTGGAACACTTTCTTAAACAAAGTTAGATATTGCAAAAAAGTAGATAAAGAAGAATATCAATTGTGTCGATTAAAATCATCATTTTGGAAGATTTTTGTTCGATACAATGACGTTGTCAGCAAATGCAATAAAGCATGAAATCAAATTCCGAATGACCATTTAATATTAATAACACGTATTATGCACTTTGTCGCTATTTACATACTGAATAGTTTATGGATTATTGCGTTTCCCGATCATGACAATGAGCATACGATGATATCAACGGTAGGCAGTAGATGCTTACTCCTCCATGGCACCTGATCCTACCCCTTAATGTTTAAAGGTCCGCTCTTGATTTGTGTAGTGGACTTTGAGAATACAGTTCGCTTAATTTCATATTTCAAAAAAATTTTTTTAGACTCACACTTCTGTAGGAATAAGCTTTCCAAGAAGAGGAAAGCGAAAAAGGACATGATATATACAGAGTCATCTCTATATGTACTTGATATAAGTAATCCACAACTTCAAGTCCATAAAAATATATTTAATCAAAATATGTTAGATACTTCAAATATTAATTGATTAAACTGCATCGGTATAAACCCGGCGGGACGGTAAAAAATTACTTTTTAGTATTGATGAAATTTGAAAAAACAACTGTTAATTTGAAAAAAATCGTATAAACCATTCATTTTTCTTTAAAATTGCGATGGATATATCCTAGAATTGATTTCTAAAATTGAAAATGCAGCTTTTGATAAGAGGAAACGATCAAAATTTTTAAAAGGAGGAAGTGTATTAAGAAAAAAGAAATATATCTCATTTTGGATTTGAACAACTTCTGTATCATATGGATACATAAATATGTCTGCCTATAGCAGCTGTGGAATTGTTACCATGTATTTAAGCAATGAACATTAAAAACTATTAATTCAAAGTTATGAAAGACAATTCAAACTTAATTTAATAAGTTATATTAAAAAAATCAAAATTGTATAATGGATATCAACTTAAAATTTTAAAAACAAATTTGTGAACGAAATCTTTACTTCAAAATTATTACAAAAATTTTCAGCTTTTTATTACTTCCACAGTATCACATTATGCATTAAAGTCAACATGAAGGTCACTGAAAGGTCTGCAAAAGTTTACCGAAATTTATATCTCCGTTATTTAGTTATTTTAGGCAGAATATAGTAAACTGAATAGTTCAGTTTCAACCTGTGTTTGGGATCCATTACTTTTCTGAGAAGAATCCTCGGAGTGTTTTGAGGATAAACCAACATCAGAGTCTGAATCATAATCATCCAGACTACGGTGATCTTTAGAGATCCTAATATTTGTCAAACAATATGGATCATCAATGTTGTGTAAAAACTGACTCCGGAGTGATTGCTCCATTGCATAGCATTCCATTTCGGACGGGTCAAAGTTTCTTCGTAAGGACAACACGCTGTACTGACAATTTTCTTCAAAATTGCCATAATCATTCCCCTTTTCATCGTTTTTAAAAATGTCGTTTTCTTTGCCACTTCCACAAGAATGTGCAAATAAGATATCCCCGTAGTCTTTTTCATTCCTTTTGATTATACTAGTTTTTTCTTTCTCACATTGGATAGGCAGATTGTTTCTTTCAGTGAAAACACTGGTTTCATATTCAATCATTTTAGAGGATCTTATATCGGCATATATATTACAGTCACCGTCTGATTCCGCCCTAGGGGGAATGGCTCCAGATGGTGATGACTCGGGATGCTGAATACTTTCTTCTTCGACTATGCGTGCCAGTGATTTAGAAAAAAAATGGAAAGTTACTTTGAACAAGAGGATTCTAAATTTGAGCATATTGTAATTCCTGTTTTATTTTTTTGTCTTTTTTTTTTAAAGTTTGAAAACATACGAATTGGAATTTAAAAAAAAGGCTTTATTGATTCATGGAAGTGTTTATCCTGTAAGATTTTTTTCCGAAAAGGATATGATAATTGATATTTTACTGACTCTTTCTACTTTTCAGTTAAACAGAAAATATTACTCTCTTCTTGGAAATTGACTTTTTTCTGGCGAGCCTTCTTTCTCCTTTAAAGGAAACGTTAAATTTAGCTGAATATATTACAATTAATTTACATGCAAAACGATGTTATAAGTTGTGTTGAAAATGTATACTGTGAATATAGGTATAGAAATCCAGCTGTTGCAATGAACATTGAAGAGGTCCCAAGTAAAGTAAGAAAAATTGTCTTCCAGACCTTTAAACTAGCATCATTCTTATCTGAAATGAAAAACATACGCATTGACAATCATAAATCATATTTTATTACATATTCTTATGTTTTGAATTGAGTGCTTTTTGGGGGTGAGGGGTGGGGGTCGAGTGGAGGGGGCTGGCATAATATTACTATTTATTATCAATCTGCATTATACCAAAAATATTTACATTTGCAAATGTTTTCTCATACATAACACTACTGAAAGCAAGCGTTTTCATAACTTTTTATATACAGGTACGGGGTCAAGAGGTCATAGATGTTCGTATGGATAAACGTTCGACGTAATTTCTCAGTGACGTCACAAAGGGTCGACGCGCTTTCAGTGGATTACATACATGCCGTTGGGTATGAAAAATAATGCATTTCACACGTTAAAAGTCACAATAAAGCAAATCTAAAGTATGAATAAGTCATAAATGTAACTATAAGTAATAAGGTATCATTTCAATATTCGCAAAATTACTTTGTTAAAACACATCTTGACAACACTCTGACAAAAGTACTATGAAGTTGACATAAAAAAAGATGCTTGAGATTCTGATTTGATAATATCTATGTGGTTTTTGGAGACTATGTCTTCCAACAATCTATTGGACTTCCCATAGGTACCAATTGCGCTCCGTTATAAGCATACATATTTGTGTACTCCTATAAAGTAGAATCTGTGCAAAATCTTATGCATGAAAAGAAGAAAACACTTACTGTGGCCTTCAACTCGACATTTAGATATATCGACGACGTATTGTCAATTTACAATATTAATTTTCATTCCTGTCATATTTTACCTGAAAAGACTTGAATTGTAGTTTAGCAACTAAGCTCTATGATAAATGTGATGACAAGGATGCGCGAAATATTGCGCAGTGGAAACCCCAGTCGGCTCCCTTAAAACTATGTCTTACTATAACGTCACACCCCTTATTAATTAAATTGTTGTTTCATAGAAAACGTAACCAAAACTTTTAATTTCCGACACATTTAAATACTTCTGTTTCATTAGAGAAATGCAAGTTTATTTCACTGTTCAATAGCGATTTCCTAAACGATACAAATGTCATTGTATATGTATCTAGTAATTATAATTTTCCGGTATGTAGTTTATGAAATCTAATAACGCGATATGAAAACAATTCATAAAGATCTAGACTACTATTTTACAGTATATTTCATCTATTTTAAAATTAGGGTATTTACCTGTGGAAATCGATGACATTTAACAACATATATAGTTTAATTTATTCTTTCTTTTAAATTCATCGTCAAAGTTTCTCAAAACAAACAAACTTACTAGATGCTTGAGTTGAAACAGTTACTCCTTGAAAACAGTCTTTACCAAAATTGCAAGTGCCTTCTGAGCAATTACATATCTCTCGACAATCTGTTCCATGTTGACATCGCCCTGGCGTCGAACTTTGCGGTGAATCTACTTTTTATTCAAGATACTAAATATGCAAAATTCGTAGCAACCAAGCTTTAATCGTTTTATTTTTTGTTCCTTAAATACTTACCCGTTGAAGTAAAATCAAGAGAATTTTCTTCAATACAACCATTAAATGCATCACATAAATGACTGGGACAGTTACATTCTTTTAAACACAGCTTCCCATAGAAACCACTCATACAATGTTCACTACAGTTTAAACCATGTTTTCCAATGGGGCATTCTGAAAGCAATGTCCATATTAATTACTAACTATTATTTTTTTATTCATTTGCAAATTTGTCAAAATTAATTAAATAGTTACATATTCATCTTTAGCATTTTTAAGAATGGAGAAAAAAATAGGTATCAATGCTATGTTGTATATACTGAAAGGAAAAAGAAATGCAGGGTAGCATAATATTTGGAAAAAAAATGACTGCATGACCGAAAATTACGAACTTTTGTCAGATGAGAAATTTACTTACTTTGCACCATAATCAGTGTTCAGAATTACTCAACCGTAAAATGTATGACGGTATATAGGGAAACGCTAAAAAGCCCAAAACACGTGCAATTTGATTTCAACAGATTTTGTTGCATCATTTGATGCATCTGAGGTAATCACATTGTTTTTCAATATTTAAAGACAATATGAATTTCTTGCAATCTTGGTACAGTTTACGAAAGTCCCATGGGGTCTGGTTTTCGAATTGCTTAATTAATGAAAAAGGCAACAACTGGTAAGTAAGAAGTTTCTTGTAAATTTCCCCCCATAAGACTTATTACCCGTTGTCAGAGAGGATCTGGAATGGTTTTCAATCAACTGTGACGATGACGTTAACGCGAAACAGAGTCATGTTACGAGCGGGTTATTCGTCCTACCGTCTCTTGAATCGCCAGCTTAGTACATCAAAAAACCGTCCGATAAACAGAAGACTATCATAACCATTACATTCACTCGAAAAAAGAAAGAAAACAATTCCGCAATTTTGTTTTTGAACTGATCAACTTACTGTTGTGTTTGTCTCACTGGTGCATGCGCGCGTCGTATCACTGATTTTGGCGTGGTTACCCATGTCCAATATAGACAGTGTTTAAAAGATAAACACTCTGACGAATTCCATGCAAAGAAGAAATAAGTTCATGACAGATGCGCAGTAGAGACATGGAAGATAATGAGTTTTCGATTTTCCCTTTTGGAGGGTATATCGTCATATGAGCTTCAATAATTCATAAATTATTTGATCAAATGGGATTTCGGTTATATCTTTCTTAAGGATAATTTTAAAAGTAAGATAGCAATACTGAAAAAAATAATTAAATGAAAAATAAATTTAATTCACCTCAAAAGTTAACCCTGCGTTTCTCTTTCTTTCAGTATATCTGCACAATTATTTCTCAAATTTTTGAAATGTCAACAGATCCTATAGATTCGTACCTCTACATGTATCTCCAACTCTGTGGAAATTGTAACAACAAATACCTGGACTGGAAAAAAAAAAGATTTGACTACGTCATGACAAACGTACTGTAGAATAACATTGTTTTCACGATTTATTCCTATTTTGCAATATTTAATTCGATTTTTAATTCGGAAAAAAAGATGTAAATGGAAACATTTAAAGAATGCTTTAAGAAATGATGATGCATTCATAAAAATATATAATTAAATAATTAAAACTATAAATCAAGTGTGTGTGCACAAGTGAAAATATTTTCAATCAAAAATAAATTTAAAAAAAACTCGTGTCTGGTGGTGTTTATTACTAAAATTTGTGCATATTTGATGTGCAAGAAAATAAACAAATATATAATACTCAAAATACTTCTTTTCTGCATGTTTTCTTAAACACAGGAATAAATAAAATTTCGAAACTGCCTCAAATACACGTATCCGTTTTGCTTAACAAACCTTTTTTCGCATGCACTGCTGAACAGGACTTTTAAAACAAGTATTTCCAAAAGAATCTTTGAAGCCGGCATCGTCATTTACCGTCTGTGTATATCCCATCACATTGAAAGCTTGATTATAGAAATACTTTTAGCTTCAAGCGTATCATTACATATAATTCATTCACTTTGAATTTAAGAAATAGATAAGTTGTAGTGAAAAAATTTATATACAATCTCGTATTCAGCTTGAAAAACACTTTGAATGCCATTTAAAGTCCACTTTATTTAAGGTTATTATAAGTTCCTGTTTTAGAAATCAATTTCCTGCTTTTATATTGGGCAACACATTTAAGTACAATTAGTTTGTGCTTTAAAACATTCATAGAAACTATTAATAAAAGCTTATACAAGTAACACTTTACACAACCTAAACCACCTGGCACACGGACAAAACACTTACCAATTGTGGATTTAAGCTTTTATCTCATATCAGAATGCAAGAAGAATTATGCATGTTCGCCCTATGATTATATGTTCATTGGAGAGATTTAATATAGCACTTTAAAAATATTTAAAAACTACACCCAAAATTCCAGAAATATTTACAAATATCAATAATAAATACCAAAATGGTCAATTTATGGTCCTAAATATAGATAATAAAAAAGACATTACAGCAAGAGCCACTTCGCGTCTTATTTGACCATGAGAAATTCTGAAAAATCAAAACCGCTCTCTTTAGGTTAAAAATGAAGTATTTATCACTTGGAGTGTTGGTGACCACATATTTATAAATCATGACGTTATAATCCCTCTAGTCAATGCATTATGACGTCAAAATGAGCCATTTTCCTCATATACCGTAAATTCCTTTGAAAAATTTCCTAAAGTTGAAATTTTTTTTTCACTATTACATATAGAGCACATATGAAGATAAAGAAAACATGTTTTATTTTTTTGATCGTGGGCTGTGTTCATATTTTAATTCTCTGCTGAGGTAGTCAAATACGCATGTTTTCTGCAAATTTCAAGAACAATGCAATTTCTCGAATCCACTGTTTTCCAATATCTTGATTCTCAAA